TGTGGTTCAGGCTGGCCTTGAACTCTGGACAATCCTCCTGCCTCAGCCTCCCAAATGCTAGGATACAGGCACACGCCACCACACCCAACGAGGAGCAGTGATTCTTAACAAGCCAAAGCCAGCCCTCTGGGGCCAGAAGAGTTAGTTCAAAAACAGTTAGAAAAGCTTCCTGCCCCTCTGGGACCCCTTGTTCCTGGAGTCCTGGAGCTACGTCCAATGAGTTACTGAGGGTGACGGCAAGAGTGCCCCAAACTCAAGAAAGTTTCTTGTCCTGATAAACAACTCGGGCTTAGCAAGTATCCGACCCTGTAGCCCTGGTACGCTTCAGTGCACAATCGTGAGTGGGGTCTGTGGGCTCGGGACGGCCCCTGGACGTCCATGCCCAGCACCTAAACCTGGGGTATGGGGTGTGGGACGGCGGTGGAAAGGTCAGGTGTGCCACAGTGTTTACAAAGGCAGAACACAAACTTCACGGTGTGCTCCTGCTGTCCCTCGGGGGAAAGAAGCATGCGTGAGCCTGGGGAGGTGATGGAAAGGCCCGCCTCTCGGGGCACACCCCCCACTTCCAGCGTCCATCATCCAGGCCCCTCGGGAGGCTGAGGCCAGCCTGGGCAACTGAGTGAGACCTTGTCTCAAAAATATAAAAGGGGCTGCAGATGTGGCCCAGTGCTCCCTGCCTTCACTGCCCAGTACAGCAAATTAAATAAACTTAAACAAAAGTAAGAAAAAAAGAGCATGCAACACAGACAGTCTGAGGCCATGAGGCTACACTGCACCTTGTCTGGCCCTTTCTTTCTTTTTTTTTTTTTGTCTTTTTCGATTTTATCAGTACCAGGGATCGAACTCAGGACTGCCTGCCTGCCGCTGAGCTAAATCCCCAGCCCTGTCTGGCCCTTTCAGACCAGTGTGCTATTAGGGCCAGGCCTGGTGACTGTGTTCAGAAGGACAAGACACCAGGGTCAGCTTATGAGTTGCAGGGAGCGGGTATGAGCTGGGCACCATGTCCAGCGAGAAACCCGGTGGGGCCAGGATTCCTTTTTTATTTTTTGATCTTTTTCCTTTTTATCAGTACCGGGGATCGAACTCACGATTGCCTGCTTGCAAGGCAGGTATCTATGCCGCTGAGCTAAATCCCCAGCCCCTATAGGGGCCAGGATTCTTGTTCCTGTTCCTCGTTCTCCTTTCTGCAAACATCCGACATTGATCCTCGTAAAGCATCTTAAAACCGGCTGCACAGAATGCAAGAGGGCTTTACTGGAATGCCAGCGTGCAGACAGCTGCTGCCCGCGGTGCCCACTTCCTCACGGGCTTCAGCTGACCTGTGACAAGGCTCTGGCCAATGACACGAAACTGCCGAATTTGTGAGGCCCTCTGGGAAGCCTCCTCAGAGAAAAGGCACAACTTCCTGTTACCACTGTCCTCGCCAGCGGGGACGCCGTCACGAGGACTAGAGGTAGTGCAGCTTCCACGAAGTGGAAGCCACATCCGCAGGACAGCAGGGAAGCGAGCCTACCCCCGATGCTGTTTGGAAATGTCACAAGAGCCTTCCATGGTCTGTCTGGATTTCTCATATATGACAGGGAACAGTTCATTTAGAGGCACTGGGCACTGCACACAGGAAGTGCTGAGCTATGCCCCAGCCTAATTTTTCTTATTTTATAATAGGGCCGTGTTAAGTTGCCCAGGCTGGCCTCAAATGTGGGATCCTCCTGCCTCAGCCTCCCAAGTAGATGAATAAGGGTATGCACTGCTGCATCTGGCCCCAAAGTGTCTTTCAATAGCCACTGTAATTCTGTGTTTTTGGTGCAGATGGTAACGTGTCGTGTTGTGTCGTGTTGTGCCCCGCCCCCTCCCGCAGCTGAGCCCAGCGCAACAGTGCAGTCCTGGGGTGAGGGCTGAATGGCAGCGTCTCCCTGACGGCTCCCTGTGGATGCTGGCCTTCAAAGGCCTCGATTGCTAGGACAGGAAGCTGGGTGTGCACCTAGCCTGGGTGTCCCCACAGGCCAAGGAGTACGTGCAGGGTGAGAGTGGCATGTCTGAGGACATTGCCTGGGCAGGCAGGTGGGTGTGAAACCCATCAGGTAACCTGAGGCGGAGCCAGGGTTACTGCCAAGGGCTGGTAGAGTCAGACTAATGTTTCCATGGCAACGGTGCCCACACGCACCACACTTTGTTCTGTTCCTCTTTCAGTGCCTTAGGCCAGCAGGGCAAGTGTTTCAAAATCTCCTCAGCTGGCCAGGGTCACTCAGCTATCACGAGGCACGCACCCAGGAGTTGAAATGGCAGATGACAGGACTCACTTAGAAGTGATCCGCTTCTAAAACGCGCCCCCCAATCCCTCCTAACAAGTGATGAGGCTGGAGCTACTGCTGGGGCCCCTTCTGTCCAGGAGGGCAGTGCCTCTGACACTTGGGAGGCTCCTCCCACTCCAGGGCGGTAGGGCAGGCCTCCCTGGCTGGTGGCCATAAGAGGAGTCCTGGGGCTGCACCACGCTGAGGCCCAGCATCGAGCGGCCAGTCACAGCCCTGCCACCAACCAATGCCCCACTGCAATCCAGGTCCCGCACCTGCGGAAGGGGTGACCACGCCCGCCTAGAGCTGGCACTGTCAGTGGGAGCATGGGCAAAGGCTCCCGAGAAATGGGCTGTCATTCCTGGAGGACACAGGTGATGCGTGTGGCGGTGTCTTGCCCTCACCTAGAGGGGTCCCTGGGAACAGAGCCAGGGCTCGCCTGTCTCCAGGCTCTGCACTGCCTCTCCTTGGGGACAAGCCTCTGGGTACCCTGGCATGGCCTGATCCTGTGTGCTGTCCTCTCTGCCCCTGTCCACGCCACAGACTGTGGCCCTGTCTGTGGTCCTGGGTCCTCCTAGGCCAGGCCCTCTGCCCAGCACTGTCCCCAGTTTGGCCACACACAGACATTCATGTTCAACACTGCTTAACAAGTGAATAGCTGAACTCAGAGCTCCTCAACTGGAGGGCCCTGTTCTATTTAAAAGATTTTAAAACAAGTGTGGAAAAGTTACTTGCTCCCAGGCAGTGGTGAGAAAGCTCAAATTCCACAGCTCGCTCTCTCTCTTCGCCCAGTGCCCTGTGAAAACTGAGACATTTTCCTCCCAGTGCGTATTTCACCGGAGGCGTCGTGAGGAACCTGCCTGGGAGCCCGGAGCCCCCATGGAGATGGCCTCGCTCTCCAGCTGTCTGCGCCAGCTCCGGTATCTCGTCAGCACCAGTTTGGGAGGAGGAAACCTCAACCACGTCCCCATAAGGAGATGTGACAGCAGGATCCCAGGAGCCGGGCTGAGGAAGTGTGAGCAATCACTCTGCACCCAGCCCTGCCGGCTACAAGGAGCCACTGCAAGGACCCGACGGGGTGATGGAAGAAGGGACTGCGTCCCACGCTCCCTTGGGCCACAACCTGAGCCTCTCCGCTTAGCCAGTGGAGGACCCTGTCACTTGCTGGGCTGTCACTTGATGAGCAGAGACATCAATGCTGCAGACCACACATCCTCTAAGGGGCTCCCAGTCCCTTGAGCCAAGGCAGCCTCTCTTCACAGTGCCCGTTCAGGAGCGTGGGCTGCAGCACGCAACGCCATCCCAGCCCTGGCTCCGAGGACCTCTGTGCCCAGGGGCGACTTTCAGGACCACCTTACCCCTGCCTGGATGCATGTGGAGGAGTCTCTCCTGACCTAGGCTAAGAACCTCAGCTGGACGTCCAGGTGGCAGGGTCTGGAGAGGAGGCAGAGGCAGTGTCACCCAGGCTGAGCTTACAAAGTGCACAACGAGCACTGGAATTAGCAGTAGCAGTCTCGCATGCCTAAGATGCCCAGCACATGCTGCACTGGCCTGACACCACCGTCTACCCGCTGGATTCAGTCCTGCCTTGGTGCTGTGACTACACCTGTGCAGGGTGAGCTCCATGCTGGGCAGCTGGGGAACGCTCATGGTCCAGGCTGGGGGTGCTAAGCGGGGACTCATAGCAGCCAGGCCTGGCATACTGCACGCCACCCTGGAGCCCTGTGAGCTCTTCCACCTCATCACTAGGCCTCAGCTTCCCATGAGAGTCTGCCCGGCCTCAGCTTCTTCCTCAACTGTGAGCCCAGTTTGCCCCAGGACATGGTCCCTGTCTCCTGAGTAGTAACCAGTTACACAGGGTGGAGGGCACATAAACACAGGGGAACGCTTACTCACGTCAACTGCACCTTCCTTCCCACCAAGAGCATCCAGAACACAAATACAGCTGTGGATATGGCAGGAGTCCTGCTAACCACCAATGCAAAAACAATCTCCAAGCTAGGCTTGGGGGTGGGGGCCGCACCTACCCTCCCAGCCCTGTGGGAGGCTGAGGCAGGGGGAGCTCGAGCTTAAACCAATGAGGATAACTCAGCAAGGCCTTGTCTCCAAATAAATGTATTTAAAAAAGAAAAAAGAAAAGAAAAGGTGGGCCAAGTATAGAGCTAAGCACAAAGGTCCTGGGTTCCAGTGTCAGCATCACAAATGGCAGGCCCCAGCACTCCCTGGCTCACACATACACACACAGCAGGCCCCAGCACTCACTTGCACACACACACATACACAGAGACACACAGCAGGTCCTGGCACCCCCTTGCACACACACACACATACACACACACACAGACACAGACACACGGCAGGCCCCAGCACTCCCTAGCTGATACACACACACGGCAGGCCCCAGCACTCCCTTACACACACAGCCACACAGACACAACACAGACACATGGCAGGCTCCCCTCATTCCTCAGCTGAAGAGTGTGCTGGGCCACCCTGTGCTCCTCAGACTCGCGCACACGGAACACACCACGCTCCCTGGTGCCCTTGTGCTCTCTGCACCAGCTTTCCAGGGTTTGTATCAGTTGCTGGCAGTTGTCCTGGGGGGACAATGTCACTGCAGGACAGTGCACGGTGGGCCACGCCAGTGCCTCACCTAGCAGGCTGGCAGTGCCCAGGTGGGACCAGCGCCTGAGGACCCCATGCCCGTACCTTCACTCCGTCCAGCACAGCCTTGATGACGCCCTTCACGGTCGTCACCATCTCCTTGTCCTCTGAGTTCACACCTTCCAGCATCACCTGGTCTGACCACCGGATGAGGTTGGCGAGGCTCTGGTACACGCGGCTGTAGCAGGATGACAGGGCCGAGCTGGAGCCAAGAGAAGATTTTCATGGAGAAGGTTAAAGGGAAGACTAAAGCACGGCCATTACCAGAACAGCACGCAGCACAGAACCAGCTCCTCAGGCGCCAGTGGGTATGCACCAATCTTTTTGTTTTCTTTGGATTTCTTTCTGAGACAGGTCCTGCTGTGTAGTTCCACACAGCTTCGAGCTCATTATGCAGCCTGGGCTGACCCTGGACTCTCAGTGATCCTCCAGCAACGACCTCCCGGGTGCTGGGATCACAGGTACCATCACGCCAGCAGTGTTTCTTTCAGGAAGACCCATGCTTCCTTTTACTGGGGGGTGCAGGGCATTGAAACCAGAGGGGCTCTACTGCTGAGCAACAGCTCCAGCCTTTTTTATTTTGAAACAAGGTCCCTTAAATTATGCAGGCTGGCCTCAAACCTATGATCTTCCTGCCTCGGCCTTCGGAGTTGCTGGAATTGCAGGTATGTACCACCATGTGTGGTTCCACACTTCCCTTTAATAAATGACCCCCTTTCCCCTTGAGCCTTTCTCCTCATTTCCAGCACAAGGCTTCATTTTCTGTGTCACAAAATTTTTATCTCCCAAACACACAGAGATCCCATCCTAAGCTCCTGCTCCACAAGACTCTGAGGCCGTTTCTCTGCAGGCCCAGGTCCCCTCCGTCCAGCTGCTTACCACTGGGTCAGGTCAAAGCCTGTGCACTCCTCGGCCAGAATGAGACTCAAACCCCCTTGGCAGGGTCCCAAGGAACCAGCCAGTTTGTCTGATGTTTCTTTAATGATGCTGGGACTCAAACCCAGGGCCCTGCCTGCATGCACGTGGCCTCTCCGTCCCGTGCTGTCTCCCTGGATGTGGGATCGTGACAAGCAGGACCCTTTAGGGGCACAGCCACATTGGAGACAGAGCTGTGCTTGTCAGAGCCCTCCTCCGGCACAGTGGGCTCCAGTGCTAATGTAGCCCATTTAGATTGGAAGTGTGGTACGGGCAGGGGGCGGGGCAGGTGATGGTGAAGATGTGTGCACACAAGTATGTAAGGTACAGTTTCAGCCACATCGTGAGGCCAAGACATAAAACAGAAGCCTGAGGACTTTGGAAGTGCTTCAGAGATGGTAGAGGAGCAGCCAAATATACAAGTTTTACATCTTCTGCATATTTTTAAAAAACTAAACATAACTTTTCTTAGAAGTTCTGGAAAGGGTTATCTTCCCATTTCAAACTTGATGCACTATAAAAGAAAAACAAAAATGAAGAGCATATATGTACTCCTTCCTTCTACTTCCTAAAGGGAAAAATAAGGCAGGTGTTGAGGGGCCACAGATACAATTTTGAAAAAAGTCTCTGCTGTGGCTGTGCAAGGCTGGGCCTCAAGGAAGTGGCTGACCGAGGTACGCAGCGCTGGGCAGGGGGGCGAGGCTGGGGTGACTCACGGTGGGACTCTAGGACTCGGTCACGCCGCCCTGGTGAGTGCTGCCTACCCTACGGGTGGACAGTCTACACGGAACGTAAGGGACGCAAAGAGGGTCGCTCTTGTCACCTTCACTACTGTGCTGCCCTCTGCCTGCCATGGACTGCTTCTCTGTGCCACCCCACCCTCCCTTGGAGCCAGCTGATATGGACTGAGACCTCCATAAACTCGGCTAAATAAACCTCTCTTCTTTTAACTTTGGGTGTGGGGTATTTTGTCTCAACAGCAAGAAAAAGGTTATTAAGGCAAAATCTACCATGGAAGGCACAGGTAGAAGTGGTTCCAAAACACGGCCATTTACAGTAAGAGATGGGAGCAAAGAGCATGCTGCGAGAAGCTCAAATGAGGGGACGGGGACCCTTCCTCAGTGCTCTAGGCCTCCAGGCTCCTCCACCTCACTCCACTCGGGGGTCCCACTGAAGATGTTGGCAGGAGAGACAGCACACTCCCGAGTTCCCAAAAGCATGAGGAGTCAGTCCTGGTGGACGGGTGCACTGTGTCAGGTCTGTGGGACCAGGCCCGGTCCCAGTGACAGCCCAGGGTTAGCCATGCTGACACCACCATGGATTCCCCAAGGGTCCTCCACCAGAAGGTCACAGGGAAGTGACCATCCTATCCTTCTGCTGCCCTTCTCCCAAGACCCCCAGTCTGCTGGCTGTGCCCCTGCCTTTCCCTCGGGCCCACCCCCACTGCCGCCTCTAAGTGCTGGATCGACATTGTGGTATCCTGTCACTGTCCTGTCCTCAAAGCCCCAGGGTAGCCACCATGCCCATCGCCAGCACTGTGTTGCGCAGGGGGTGGGCTAAGGTCTCTTCCCTGTTGGGAGCAGCACTGCTGACAGCCGAGCTCGCCCCTGCTGGCTCCTGGGACAGCAGCACTGCCCTTGCCTGCGCCAGGCTGCTTCCCACTAAGCCCCCACACGGCCCCCCACTCAGCAGAACTGCAGGGCAGCCCTGATGGCCGGCTTCGCAGAAATAAAGACCCAGCTCTGTCTCCGAGAAGAAAACCGAACCTCACTGCTGAGTTCTGAAAGCCGCTCATCAAAGCTCAGCCCCACAGGCCAGCTGAGCATGAAGTCATCTTGAGAGCCGAAATAGCTCCCTGACAATTCGGGCTTGGATGAGCTTTCTAGGCTGAAGCAGCAGCATGGGGAGAGCAGCTCACCAGCCTCACAGCAGAAAACTCACTCGAGCAGTGCAGTTTTGGACAAAAGCCCCCGCTGTCTGGGAGTCCCCACCAGCGTGTCACCATTCATGCTCTAACAGGGCCCTGGGCTCTTCTGGTCCAACCACCTGAGAAGCTGCAGACTCTCCTGGCAGGACCAGGTGGCGTGCCATAGGGCGGGCATGAGGTGCGGGCGGAAATGTGCCTATCAACCCAGCTGCTGCCTATGAGCTATGGAGGCAGTGCCGCAGGTCTCATGGTGCCCACACCCAGGACAGTGGTGAGCTGCCTGGGGACCAGACTTCAGGGAGATCATGGATGTCAGGCAGCCTGGGGACAGCTGGGCAGGGCACAGGCGATATAGAAAAGTCCCCTTCCCGACTGCACCCCAACCCAAGTGCCTGCACACCTCCCAGGCCCGACGCACCAGGACTCACCTCTGCTGGACCCTCGGGTCGGTCTGCACCAGGGGCAGGATGGCCTCCAGCACCTTGCTGGCGGAGCCTGGCAGCATCTCCAGCACCTTCTTGTCGATGGCCATTTTGTCCACAATGGTCTTAAAGTAGCGCAAGGCGCTGACCACTTCCTTCTCCTTCTCTTCCAGCCAGCTCAGGTTCTGAAAAGAAATGTCAGGCTTAAGGAGGGAGGGGAGAGTTTACAGGAGCTACTTTGAAAGCACGAAATTCCCTCTGAACTAGCTGGAGGGCACTGTGAGGGAGAGGCGGCAGGAGCCAGGCTGGGCGGTTTGCTGTGACCCGCAGACAGAAGCCAGGGATGAGGGAGGCCCGACCATCACTCTCTTCCCTGTCCTCGCCAGCTGCACCAAGGTGGCACTGCTAGCCTTGCCCAGCGATTGACATCCCGACCTCGGCCAGGGAGGGAACCACTCCTAGCACACATGTGAAGCAAGTCTAGAATTACCCGTAGCATGGTTCAGCCCCAGTCCACAGCAGCCCTTCTGGGGAGCTACACTCCAGGGCACCCGAGAGCTGGGGCTGGGAGTCGGGCTGACTGGGGCGACATGGAGGGAATGGGGTTGCTCCTGAGGAAGAGAACACAGAGCCCCATGTGCCTGCTTTCCCAGCACAAACCCTCACCCCATCCCCCTTCCCGACTGCAGAGACCAGGACCTCAGTCCCAGCCCCTCTCGAGTGACCCTGGCAGGCGGGGCAGGGAAACCGAGGGTGACTACTGAGGGCCGAAGCCTTCAAGTGCACAACCCACTGAAGCCGGGTAGGCAGCAGCTGACACACGGCGGGGTGGCATGTCCTGGGAAGGCCGCCACCACACTCTGCGGGCCCAGAAGGCACCTTCCAGGAGAAGCTAATTAATAGTAACATGTAAGTATATAAACAAGGGACAAAAACATAATGAAAAGTGGTTATTTATTTATTTATTTATTTTTTTGAGACAGGGTCTTTCTATGTACCTTAGGCTGGCCTTGAACTCACTATGTAGCCCAGGCTGGCCTCAAACATGTGGCAGTCCTCCTGCGTCAGCCTCCCAAGTGTTGGGAGTATAGGCATGTACCATCAAGCCTGGCCCAAAAGTAGTTATGATTTTGAACGCTAACTTTTCTTCTAAAATGATAGGGAATATCAATACAGAAATTTCTGTATTTCACAGAAACATCAAATGAAAACTTTACGAATGGGGTCAATAAGGAACAGCTTCCCTGGCAGACAACCTCCAGAGTCCCTGGTGGTTTTTTGTGGACAACTCCCGAAGTGTCCACAGCGACACCCTAGAGGGGAGCATGCTCCTCCTGCCCATCACGGGTCTTCTGTGCCCTGGCTCTGTCACCCCTCTCACTACCTGAGGCGCCTGCTCCCTGCCCTCTCGAGGGCCAGGCACTGTTTCTCCCTTCCGGATACCCTGGCCAGGAGTAGGTTGGGCAGCCGACCGTGAGGTGCCTGCAGACAGACACGGCTGCCTGGCATACCAGGAAGTGCTCAGAGCCAGCAAGGGTGAAACTCGGCATGAAACAGGAAACACTTTAAGAAAATGTGTCCCTGTACAAGAGGGAAAGGGGTGACCCGGGGGGTGGGAAGCACCCCAAGAGCAAGGGACCTCAGTGGGAAGAGAGCCTTTTCCTGTCACTACAGAGATGGAATTGGCCAGGTGAGAGCCAGGCTGACCAGTGACTTAGCAAAGCCAGGCAGGGCCTAATCCACCCCTGAGCACACAGTCTTGGGGGCCCCGGGTCCGAAGGTCACATGGTGATAACCGCAGCCAGGAGCTTGCTCAGCCATGAAGCTCACAGCAGCCCACACATCCAGGAGGCCACCAGTGCTGCGAGGGCTGTCCCAAGGCCACGCCGTGCTCTCTGCTTGCCTGGGTCACTACTGAGGTCAGCACAAGGGGCAGTAGGAGGGTGGGGATGGAAGTAGCTCAAACATTTAACAGAGGCTACACTGCGACAGAGGCTGCACATGCAGTAGCAGACAGAGGACAGGGGACAGGAGACGTAAGCTCACAGAGGGAAGGAGACCGGCCCAGCCACAGCTCACTGGCATTCTGCAGTGATCCGTGTTTTGTGGGTGACCTCTGGACTGGGGCTACACAGCAGTGCAGAGGAGCCTCGATCACCTCCCAGCTGAGGACACTGAGGCACGTAAGGACCTGGCTGCTGGGCTGGAATCTGAACCTGGCCTACCTGACTCCAGAGCTTGGGGAGGCAGAGTGGAAAAGAGTACTGCAAGAAGTAAAGAAGTGTAATGGTAATCCCCCGGACCCCAGCATGAGTGTCATAAACGAGCAGGAGGCCCAGACGGGAGAACCCAGCAGGCTTTCCTGCTGTGCGCGTCACCTGGACCTGGCTCTGCTCTCAACCAGGGCGGACAAGCTGGCCACCCCCAGCCACTCCTCAGCCCTCCCCCCACTGCAGCCTGCTCTGGACCCCACAGAGGCCCATGTCACCCAGGGCACTGCTGGGACAGTGCAAACCTGGGCTGGGGGTGGGTGTCAGGGGCTGTTTCAGCTGTGCAGGGCTCCTCCCAGGACTCCTCCCTCTGAGTCACCCTGGCAGGGCAAAGAGCTGCTTGGAAGCCTCCTGCCCAGCTCCAGGCTCCTCCCTGCTATGTTTCACAAAGGGCAAGGCCTGTCACCAGGCCTCTGGGCCACCTCTGCACAGTGCCCACTCCATCATGTGTGGCTGTCAGCTGTGACAGTAAAGTTCCTGATACTGCAACATGGCAGCTCACTGGAAGACTGGCTAGTAGCACCAAAAGTTTACTCGTTCATCTGCGGAGATACGAAGACAATGGTGGTAAGACAGACTGGCCGGGCTGGAGTCCACACTGCAGTGGGAGTGGCAGTGGCAAGCAGACCCTTGCCTACGGGGTTATGACAAGGAGCACACAGACAGCACCAGGGACAGGGCCTGGGCACACAGTGCTCTGCTAAGCGGCGAATCTGCAGCTGCACTGCCACCAACTTGGCTTCAGCTTCCCACGCATCTTGGCAGAGAAACCCACGCAGGCCGGCTGGCACAAGAGAGGGGGCACAGGCATGCTGCCTCTGAGCAGCCAGAGTGCTGGCGAGGGATGGTGGAAGACAGCAGTCAGCACTGGACTGGGCCCCCTGGGTGGCCAGGCCACATGGGCCTGGGGTCCCTGGGGTGAAGGTCTTGCCTGCGGCTCCTTGCACACAGCAGGCCTTGTCTTGGAGCTGCTGCTGTTTGGGGCTAATGGTCGCCCGTGAGGGGCACTGCCCTGTGGGTGGGAGGGGTTCACCGCATCCCCAGTCCTGATACTCAGTCACTGGATCCCCAGTCCCTGGATACTCAGTCACACTGCTCCACCTTCCTATGGTGACCCCTGGAAGTGTCCAGGGTCTCCTGGGGTTCTGCAGGCACCCTGCTAAGCTTTCACATCATATAAGCCTCCGTGACCTCTGCTGGGAGACTGAATAAAACGGGAAAAAGTTCAAAAGCAGTGCAACAGCTCAGCAGCAGAGCAAAGCTGACCAGAAGTCATCCTCCGCTGAGCCTCCTGGACCAGCACTGGCAGCCAGCTCATCTTCCCCCTGGAGGCCAGTGCTGGCCAGGGTGCAATAGAAGGTGGGGTGGACTACACCTCCACCTGTCTGCCTCCTTCAGTCCAGCTGCAGGTCCCCGCGGGCTCAGTGCTTCCCTCTGCTCCTTCCACTTCCCTTCAGGTGGGGGATGAAAAACTGGGGCTCCACAAAAGATTGGTAGCTCTAAAACTTTCACTTTTCTTCCTTTAACTAGGCTTTTAAGACATTCTGCTAGCCAACTTGGAAACCAAAAGTAGATGACTTTCAAGATTAAGAACTCTGGCTGGGTTTGGTGGTGCATACCTGTAATCCCAGCGCTTGCGAGGCTGAGGCAGGACTGTCCCAAGTTCAAGGCCAGTCTGAACTATAAAATGAGACCTTGTCTCAACCTTCCCTATCTCAAAACAGAACTCTATTTCAGGAAAGGGGAGTTAGTGGTTCTTCAGCTGCATAAAACTGAAGGCTGGACAACAGTCCTGGGACAAAGGATCACCGCAGGGTGAAGGGTCTATTTCTTGACAAAGCTTATTTTACCTTGTGTTGTTAAGTTTATTATCACGCACAGCAGTACATTGGGATTAATGGTAAGATCTGTGAGGTATTAAAAGTGAACTCTGACTTTCTTTCTTAAAGAAAGGGAATACAGTGAGAATCCAGACCTGACCTCCAGCAGCCTGTGTTAAAATCTCACTGCCATCTTCCTACTGTGGACTCTGGTTAAGTGCTTCTCTTAAGACTCGGCTTCCTGTTCAGCAAAACGGGCCCTGCCAGGGCTGTCGTGAAGAGTTGAGAACCAATGCAAGCCACATGGCATGGGCTGGGAGAGGTCCCGCTGGCCTGGATGACACTAGCGCTCTGGCTCCTGGTCTTGCAGGGAAAAGGCTGAGTGACCCTGGGGTACTTCGTCTCCTGTGCCACTGCCACCACCTCAGCAGTGCCAGGAGAGAGCTGCCGCTCTCCAGAGGGGAGACTCTTCCCCCACCCCCAACCCACTGGGCCAACAGCGCCTCCGGCCCAGACCAAGTCAGGCTCCAAGCTGTGGCTGGACTCCAGCACTCTCTCTGCAGACCAGGGAGCTCGGGTCACTGCTTCTGCCCGAGGCCCAAGGACTCTCCTGCACTTCTGCCCACAGCTGCCACCCAGTGAGACGCGAAGACACTGCAAAGGCTTTTCCAGCCCAGGACCACGGAGCAGGGCTATGCAGGAGAAGCCAAGGCAAACCCGATCGTTCTTAAGTCACACTGACCTTCTGCCTCTGGGACCTGGAAGCCACAGCACTGGTGGACATAAACTCTACTGCCTGCTGCTCCAGATCCGAGGGGTTAGGGTAGCCCTCTGGTAGAAATCTGTCTCTTGCCTCCTGGAAGAGAGGAAACCTGGATTCCTACAGAGCTTGAAGCGGCCGTTGCAGGCTGAAGGGAGGGTCAGCGAAAACCAACAGCTGTTTTGCACGTCTGGCTCGGCTGGTCATGCTGGGGGTGCTCGTGCTAGTGGGTGCCTTTGGCTGGGATTAGAGAACTCGCCCACCTAAAAGCAGCACCCTGGAGCTGAAAAGCAGGCCCTGCGGACATCACAAACCTCCCTGTGTGTGAGCGAGCCCAGGGAATGGGCACCAAGGGTGGAGGCGGCTCCCGGGGCAAGACCCTGGCATGTGGAGGGAGACACAGCAGGGCAAGGGGAGCCGCCCGGCTCCTGGCTGGACTCCCATGCACGAGTGTCACTCAGAACCCAGAGTGAGGGTCTCTATTTCAGGTCCATACGGCCCCAGAGCCGCACCCAAACCTAGCACTGCCCCTGCTGGCACGGCCAGGATGGAACACCGAGAGAGGCGGCTTACTTTGTTGACAGGCTTCTCCGGCATCTTCACAGACACCTCGGCTGGCTTGCCCTTTTTCGATGGCGTCCTCTTGATTTTGGGCGAGTGGAATTTGTCCATCAGCTTCATGGTGAAGGAGGAGAGGTGAGAGCGCTGAGAGTCTGAAGACACAGAGGGCACCGGCTGTTAGCAGAAGGTGCGGAGAAGCTGAGGCTCCCCAGAGCTGTCCCCCCGATCTCCTGACTGGCGGGGACCCGTTAACACATCCCTGCTCTCCTGTGTCAGTTACTGCAACCTCCGGCAAGGGGAGCCTGCTCAGAACTGGGGGCTTCAAAAGCAGCTGATGGGCAGGAAGGGAAAAACTTGCCAACACTGAAGTGTCCTTTACAGGTCCACGTGATGGCCAGCAAGTGCCCAGGAGCCCCTGCTAAGATGAAAGCACTCTGGTAGAACTACAGCCGTGGGGGCCCTCTCGAACCAGCTGCGACAGCTGGGGAGGGGGAAAGGCAAGAAGGGGCAAGAGAAGGAGAGAGAACAGAAGAAAAAATAGAAACCAAGCTTTTGTAAAGAAGCAGGGAAGGAGGAGTTGAAGGGAGGGGGCGGGGATAGGGAGGAAGAAGCAAGCTACCTCAGGTACAGGTCCAAACGCCCTAGGACGAGTGCAGTCATTATGGAAAACTAAAACGCACCAAAAAAGGAAAGAAACAAAGAACCGCAACAAGTGACACAGCCAGTCCCACAGCGGCCAAGGGACTGAACCGGAAGCCACGTCCGCAAGGCTCCGGGCAGGGGCGAGGGGTTACGCAACTTCTCCCAAGATTGGATGAGACAGGAAGGCCATGCTCATCCCTCCCATCTGATGCTGCACTCGCCGGACAGCTGGGCAAGCGGAAGAGCAGAAAGCACCTGCCTAGAAGGGGAGACAGAACGCTGAATCTGCCTGAATGTGAGTGACCTTCCTCGGGGTAACCCTGGAGCACTCCGCCTGCTGGTACAGGGCTGGGGGTGTCGTCAGGGCTGCAGGGCTTGCTTAGCATGCAGGTAGCCCCGGGTTCATCCCTCAGCACTGCAAAACTAAACAACCTCCAAGCATCAGTACGGTCACCAGATGCAAATCAATGCACACACATTTCTACAGAGTAGTTCTGAACACTCTGAGATGGAACGTAGAGAAGTTTCACTTTTCATATTACCCGAAATAAGACACAGATTTAACACAAATATTAGGGGCCAGGCTCAGCAGCACAGCGCCCGCCTGGCAAGTGTGAGGTTCTGAGTTTGACTGCCAGTACCCAAATAAAACAAAACAAAATCACCCTACAAAATATTGCTGAAAGAAATGAGAGACAAATTAAATAAATGGAATATGTTCCTGGTACAAAAGGCTTGCTATTTTGATTCCAATAATCAGTGATGATGATTTGCAGCCTCTGTGAGAATTCCAGCTGGCTTTATCCTAATCCCAAATCAGGATGGTAACACAAGTGATTCCGAACAGCCAAAACACACCCAGAGAAGAACAAAGCCCATGACTTGCATGTTTCAGCTGCTAGAAAGCCGTACTGCTCGGGACCACAGTATTGGTGACAGACAGACATGGAGCTCAATGGTATGGAACTCAAAGTTGGAAATAAACCCATGCATCTGGCAACTGTCTTTGAGAAAAAAGTCAAGACTGTGCAGTGGAGAAGTCAAGTGTTTTAACAAATGGTGCTGGGACAATCAGATGTGCAAAAGAATGAATTCGGCCCCCTATTTTGTATCAGATGCAAAATGAATTCGGCCCCCTATTTTGTATCAGATTCACTCAGAGTGAATCAAAGACCTACATGTAAGAGTTAAAGCCAAAACACTCTTAAAAGAAAATACTGGAGTGCTTCTGACCTTGGGTTTGACCATGGCCTCTGAGATGTAACCCTGAAAGTTTGGGCAACATAAGTAAAAATACATAAACTGGACTCCATCAAAATTAAAAATGCTTGCACCTTCAATGATACCAGCAGGAGGTGGAAAGACGACCTCCGGATGGGACAGAGTATCTGTAAATTGTGTCAGACCAGGGATTTCTAGACAGGAAATACAAGAACCTGGTGGGGGACAGAGCTCTGCAGTAGGACGCTTGGGCCCCTGCTGGGTTCAACTCCAAGCACTGAAAAAACCAAACCAAAAAAAACCAGTGAAAAAATAAAAGAATGTTGACATCTCAATGAAAATGGACAAATGATCCGATTTAAAGGGAGTGAACACTGCAGACTTCCAGGAGACACAAACTGGCAATGACCCAGGGGCAGAGGCAGACTACACCGGCAGGGACACACCCCAGCACGGTACCAGGCTGAGCACAGCACCAAGACGGTGGTGCCGGGTGCTGCTGGGGATGGAGGGCCCGGGAGGCCGCCCGTACTGTCGGCGAGAAGTAAGGTGGTGCAGCTGGGCTGGGGAACATCTGGTGGCTCCTCCTAAGATCAGCAAACAAGGCCCAGCAGTTCTACCCCTAGGCTTACATGCCAGGGGCACGAAAGCGTATCTCTGCAAGACTTATACCAAAAAGCTCATGGCAGTGTTTTTTGTAACGGTCAAAAGGTAGAAACAATTCCCATGTCCACGGGTCCACAAATGAGTAGTGTGGCATATTCACACAATGGAGTATCATTCGGCCACAAAAAAAGGGATTAAGCACTGACCCATACAACACCACAGAGGAACCTGCGCCCAATGACGGCAGCCAGGCCCAAGAGCCCACCTGTGGGCCGTGTGCGGGCTGTGTGGCTGGATATCCTTCAACATCCCCCGGGGCTGCGAATGTGTTGTTCCTGCCTGGCTTCTCAGTACCAGCACAGTATCTGGCCCACAGATGCTCAGTAAACACTCAAAAAACTGTGCAAATCGGCCAAGCGGGCAAAACACCCCAGGAGACGGGGAGCTTCTTTTAGCAACGGCAATGGTTCCCAGAAAATACTATCGGCCGAAAATTGAAGGACAAAACACTGTTCTACGAAATGGAAAAGCAAACATGGTTTTAAAAGTAAAAGAGCACTCTAAATTTTTTGGCAATTTATTACTTTGCAAAACTCCTCTGGGTAAGTCTAAGCACCTCCGTGCCCAACAAAAGTGGCCAAATTCTTGGTCCCGCGCTGCACAACCAGGCACGAGCCAGGCCCCAGGAAGTGGCTCACTCACCGGGGCAGCCCCGGGGTGGTGGGCTGGCAGCCTTCCCGGACTCTGAGGTGCTTCTAGCTCCCCTCTCCTCCACCCCGACAGAGTGGGTTCTCCCTCCCGGTTCACACTTCCTTCTTCCTATTTCCACACTACCCCAGTGTCTGGTCAGGGGGTAGCTAAAGGGGTTGGATGGCTCGGGAGGCGGCCCCTCTAGATCTCAGCCACTCTGTCTGGAAGGCCCTTGGAAGGGCCTCTGTGACATGGAGTAAGGGAGGTGCTGCTGGGGGTCACAGAGGCAGGGGTTCTCAGCTTTCTCTGCACCACCCATGTGAGCCCCAGCTCCGCCCCACCCACACCTGCAGGAGGGAACAACAGGAGCGCTCCAGTCGACCACACCAGCGTTCCTGGAGCACAGGTGAATCACACGATTTATTCCACGCCTGCTGTAAAGCTGGCTGCGAGAGGTGGTCCCAGCTGTCAGGAGGTGAGGAGTCTGAGTGAGGGTACTTCTGACTGGTCCCTCATCAGCAACGGGCAGGTGGAACCCCGTCAAGTCAAGGCCCATCTGTGCTTACCCAAGTGCCTGGCATGCGGCACCCGCCTGGCACAGGGAGCTCAGCTGGCTACTTTGGGATGGGCAACAGGGCTGCTCATGCACTGGATTCTTAGTGGCCAGCTGCGCACAGGCTGCGTCAGGTCACTGTGGCACGCTGAGCACGCAGTTCACACTCCCGAGCACACAGGAGCCTCACAGAAGCCAGCGCTGCTCTCCTGCTCCTCTCTGGTATAACTCGTCCCCCTCTGCATCCATCTCACTGCTGTCCTTGAGCCTGATGACATCCCTCACCAGGCAGGCTTGGAGCCAGTTGGGGTGCCAGTAAGCCATTCCTCTGAGATCAAAGGCAGGACAGATGGGCGCCATGAATGGCAAGCCTGGGTGGGACACATGGCTTCTTGGTTCGCAGCGACCTGGGCTGGGCGAGCCGGCTCCCACCTCCTCTGAGGTCTACCATCCTGAGCTGTGTAAGGCATGTATGGAGCCAGGTGCAGAGCCCAGCATCACAACCAGGATGGAACCAGGGTGAGCAAGGGAGCGTGCAGGTCACCAGAAAACCCTCTTAGGCTGGAGACAGTGCAGGGCTGGCCCTGATGATGACCAGAGACCACAGGCAGCTCTATCCTGGGGTTGGAAGGGAACCTAGGAAGTGGCTTTAGCCCTCCCCTTCATCTCTGGCCCCCCCGCCCCACCTGCAACTCCAGTGAGTGTAGGGGTGTGCTGGGAAGCCAGGTCAGCACTCGAGCAGTGCAACGCTGCCCATAAATCTCTCGAATAATTAGGAGCAACAGCACAGCCAGCTCCAGCCCAAGGAGTGATAAATCAGGTGGAGAAAGGGGACCATCCTGACAGTGGAACGACACTGGGAATCGAGGGCAGCAGGAACTAGGCTAGACTTTACTTGGAGGCTGTTAGCTTTTCCTTCAGCCCCAGGGGCCAGTGGCACAGGCTTCAGGGGATTTCTAAGGTCTCTCAAACTGCCTTGGAGTGGCCATGGATAGCAGGGTGAGAAGCCAGTGCGGGCCTTTGCACAACACTGAGTACCGGTGACCTCACCAACAGTGCTACACACAGGCACACGCATGAGTGCATACAGTGCATTCCCAACCCGTCCTTCCCAGTGGCCAATCACTGGTCTGCTGGGCAGAGCCCAAAGAACTCTGCTCCTGTGCCACCCAGAATTGGGCAGCTTCACTACTCACTCTCCTCCTAGTCCTCACATCTTCGCCCAGAGGAAATTACACTGCAGAGCCCGTTTTTTCAAGGGTCTTCCCGAAGTGAAATTACAACAGAATTTTAAACACTTCATGCTTGCGTGTGTGCAAGGCACAGAGGATGAGTCAGATCCACACGGCACAGAGAACACTGCACAGTGGCAGGGGCAGCATCTGCATCAGCCCTGGTGGCTGCTTTGCTGGGCAGGGCAGCTCGGGTGGTGGAGGGGAG